TAAAAAATTAATTTCATTTTATAGCAGTTAAAGGGTTCATACTGCTTATAACTTTTATCCAAGGTAAATTTGGATTTATGAATGTGTATTATCAGTCAGGATAGCTTGGGTTATGCTGTAGTACAATAACCGCCTTATTTCAAAGGCTTAGATTAACAAAGGTTTTCTTCTTCTCAGGCTACATGTTAGTAAAAGGTTGGCTTTAGCTTATAATTCTCATTTTCTCAATCTGCAATCCACTCTGATCGATCATATATCTTATAAAACATGGCAGAAAAAAGGAACATAGCATATTATGCACTGACTCCAAGGCTTCTATGAGAAAAGAGTACACAAGACTTCCATTCACATTTCCCTAGCCAAACAGCTGTCGTAATCACACATAAGCTTAAGAGGATGGGGAAATCCTATTGTAACACGTGCTAAAAAGGAGAAGAGAACTGGAATATTTTTCAATAATCTTACTAACTAGCACAGAATGATAGATTCCATATGGAGTTGCTTTATTTTATTATTCTCCAGTTCTATTACATTAGAAAATAATAATATACGACATCTGGTCAAGGAAGGCAGTTTTGGTGACTATGTCATTCAGTTCTGCATTTTTGGTTCAAACATGCACAAGACAGTCATAAACATGGGAGTTAGTCGTCGCCACAGTCCACTCTCAGCAGCATGTCGCGCCCAGATCAACGAGCACATCACATGCTGGAAAGCAAGAAGCCTGAATGTTTTAAAAGTTCGAACATGATGGTAGTAAATAGACTGCTAATTCTGTTTTCATTATTTTAGTTTCAGAAAGAACTTCTTTGTATTCTCTTGCAGAAATTGGATTTCCTCTTAAAATATAACTGCTCACATACTATTAATTTCTTTCTCTGAGGCACGAAAACTGTGAAGTGTTGAAGAAAAGTCAATCTCTTGTCAATTGAGCTATTTGAACATTAATTCAAGTCTCTTAGGAAATTCTTTTATCCAAAATCAACATTTTATAATCTATATATTTCAAACCTTATATTCCTTTATATTACAATATATATGTTTTAGATCATTTAAGATAAGACAGTGATGAACAAAACTTGAGGAAGCTACTTAAAATCACAGAAATGGTCTTTACTGGGACTATCAGTACCATAAAATTTTTTATTTTATTTTTCATTCAAAAATTTGTATGAACTCTCTCTTGTCAGCACCTCTCACTACAGAAAAGCAACAGCACGTGTCAGCCCATTTACCTGCCATGTCCTCTGAAATCACTTGCACAGAATAGGCACCCCTTAATTATTAATCAGGTCCTTTCAAGCTCCTTCAGCAATAAAACAATCAAGATAAGAAATGCCCACTATTATCTGTATTCCATGGATAAAGCTATGTGTGGGTTGGCATTCAAGTGTAACTTATTAATAGATCAATGTCTTTCTTAGTTGTGGACACGGATAGTCTTTCTTCACTACTTATCTCAACAAAAGTTTTGCCACATTTATTACAGATTTAAAAAAAATAGTTCAAGAGAGAAAGCGTCTCATCTCTTTTAATCACCCATTTCAGTAAAAAATGAAATAAAATTTCATTAAACTATATTCTCCCCATATAAGTGCACATATCCTAAGAGCTGATTCAGTGATTTCACACAAATGTAAAACAAAATATGGAATTGCCTCAACATGTAACAATAACTACTGTTATGTTTATACTAGGCAATTAAAAAAATTGGCAATAAATTGCCCTGCTTTCTTTTGGGTTTTAAGTCTTGTTAGCAACGGTGTGACCTATACTTGTTTTTGCTCTGGTGAATGCAAGTAAGAATAACGCCATTGTACTTCTTGTTCTCTTCTCCAGACCTGTCACAACAAAATTATTGGAAAATATTAACTAGAAAATATTTCTGAAAAACTCAAGTAATTTAACCACAGAGATCCTAAGCCCATTTTTAAAACAAAAAACTAAAACGTCAATGGTTTCACGCCAGCATAACAGGAGTGAAAGAATTCTTGGATCAACAAAATTTTATTTTCAGATATCCATTATTGTATATCGTCATACTTCCTAGCTGCACTTTTCTTTACTGGCCTGTGTATTCACCTATCTGGCAACACGTGTTCATATTTTATGTTTTTATTGAAGAACTTTCTCTGAGATGGATTCGCAATACTATTTCATGGATCTAGAAGTCTTGTATGCATGTTGCTATTTTTACCATTATTTCCTACAGGTAATGTAAAGTGACACAGTAAAAATAATGAAGAAAATCTCAAACTTAACAAATAGAAACAATACTGTACAACTGGTATGAAATGTTAACCGAGATGAAATGACCAAAATAATTTCTGTATAACATGCATTGCCTTTAAGAACAAAATTATCATAAGGACATTAACTTTGAACATAAAATTAGCTTTATTAGTACAAATTTATAAAATGTAAGATAGATAAATTTTATCATTTTTTTTTCCCTCTGACATTATTGGACTGCCTGTAGTCCAGTTATAGATTTCCAAAGACCACACATAATACACATACCACACAGCCACAGACAGGGTTTGTAAGATACATTCATAATTCCTGCATACCATCTCTAAATTTATTTTCTTTTTTATTCTCATTCTCTTTTGCCTTAGCAAATTCTCTAAAGAAAAAGGCCTATGTGTTTATTTGAACAGCTATCTATACCACGTTTACATTTCCAGACCCAATGCCTCCCCCGGGCTTCAGACTTTGGTGACTGCTTGACATCTTTGCTGGGATGTCTGAAAAGCATCACCGGTTTATTACTTCACCAACAGAACTCTTGAATAGTCTTCTCCAAACCTGATCCCCACTAAAGATCCCCATCTTATTATATCATATTCATCCAGTTGTTCAAGCCCAACCTAAGAATCAATTGAGATAACTCTCTCATCCTTACAGCCAATACATCAACAATTCTTGCTGACTTTACTCTTAAAAATATATATATTGAATCTGACAACTTCCCACTACTTGCACTGTTGCCACCGCCTTCATCTAAGCTGCCATCATCTTATCTTTTACCTGGTCTACTCATTACTTACTTTATTACTGGACTCTCTTGTTTCTACTCTGGCACGCACACGTGTTTTCACAGCAGAGAAGCCTTTTAAATCTAATCAGGTCAGGTTAAAACTCTTCAATGGCTTCCTATCATGCTTAGAATGAAAATTCAAAGTTCTTATCATGACCTGTGAGGCCTTATGTGATCTCTCTGGCTGCCTCTAGGAAGCCTACTCTGCTTATTTTACTGCAGACATACTGACTTTTGGGATGTTCTTTCTATGGACTAAGATCATTCCTGCATCTGGGTTTTGCGCTTGTGGTTTAGAGAGAAACACTATTATCTGACTAACATTTGTGACTTATTTCATTACTTCAAGTAAGTTATTTTCTTACCACACTGACTTAATAGTGTCATACTCCCGCTCCCCTAATCCTGCTTTATTTATCTCCATAGTTTTGTCACCCTCTGACATTGCACTTCAAATTTATTTATCATTTTTCTCACTGAAATGGAAGTTCTATGAAGGTAGAAACTTCACACTGATCACAAGCTAAATTCCTTGTGAGCAGAAATATGTATTTGATGTGACCTACCCTTTAGTCGTTTCTGTGGAAAATGAAAGAAATGATAGTATATCTAAAAATGAAAAGGCAGCCACCGAGATGAGAGATTTGGTGGAGTAGCACTCAGTGAAGGAAGAAAAGAGTGTATAAAAGATTTAATCTTGGTCTACAGGGTGACTATGGTTTAGCCGAGAGGAGTCCCATGAGATTTCCATATACCTTAAACCTTTCCCACTGAGCAGCAGTGGTCAAGAATTCATATGCTTTGCGAAATTTCCTTGCGGCCTTTGGTCAAACTCATAGGTTAAAACTTGGAGATACAATTATGGTTATTTACTCAAGCTGTACTCATTATAAACAAAAATTAAATAGTCAACCACTTCACTTGATAAAGATTCAGCACAAGTCCAGTCTAAATGAAATGTCAGCAAAATCCAAACTATAATCTCATTGGATAGGCTACAGTTTCCATTTATAGTGAAAGAGGTTTTGTATGTTCCTACACCTTAGTCACCTGGGTCTTTCCCACCTAGCAACTACTCATAAACTAACATTGTGTATTAGCCACAAAAAGAATTGCAAAGAGAGAGGCTGATACAAACATTCAACTAAAGGTGTATGCCCCCTGCTACAACAAAACCTCCTGGGTACTTCTAGCAAGGCAGATATGCTGTATTTATAGACTTTAGATTCTAATTAATGAATTATTACTTAGTACCTGACAGGGAAAGATTGATGAACTTACTGAATATTATTTTATTAAAAAACAAAATAACATCGATCTCTCAAGTGAACTTTCTTGTAACCAAATAAATTCATTAGTTGACGAGTCAATTCCACCACAAGTCAATATATAAATTCAAAATGTCATTACTATACTCTTGTTTCACCTTAGGCATCTTAACGCTATTAGCAAGAGAACGTTACAAAGATTTGTTAGAGAAGCATATCAGCCTGTTCAGAGATCTTCCATTTTTGCACTAGACAATCATGTTTGAATAACTATAACTTTAGTCAGAAGGAGCTTACTCTTTCAGATTTACCCGTGAAACACTTTAGTTGAATGTTCTTTTAAGAAAATCTCAGCACTCATTAATTATGACTATTTCTAAATGAGATTCCAGATGACTTCATGTGGCCACTAAATAGTTTAGACTACATGTAACAGTTACCTGCTGAGGCAGTTACTTCATTGGTACCATAAGATCAACATTTGGTCTTACATGAATGTATAAATCTTGACTGGATCTAATTTGAGAATTTAGCAGACTAAATTATATTTTATCATCTGTCCAAAAAGCTAAAAACAGAAAGCTAAGATGCAGTTCCAATCTTAAGTATTTCAACTGTTTGTGTGGAAAAGACATGTTTTCTATTCAGATGACATATGGCTAAAGATAGTTATTAGAATCTTAGTACCATACCTCTCGAATAGCAGTACAAAACTCACTCTGAAGCACTTTTTTAAGGGACTGTAGCTTGTGCACTGGTACTTCTCCAGATTCTTGTAGTTTTTCCAGTAATTCAATTGCTCTGGCAACATCTGAATAAAAAAAAAAAAAAAAAAAAAAATGGAGAGATCTAGAGTAAACTGTGTCTCATCAACAAAGTACCGTCATTCCAACTGAATGCTGGTCAGTAAAAAGTAAGTGAAATTAATTGCAAAATCAGAATTTACAATTCATAGCTTATTGATCTCATCTTTGATAAAAGATGAGAAAGGAATATAACAGCATAGCTACCTAAAATAAAATCATTACCACCTCAGAATTTGGGGTTCATGTATCTAACCAAAGAAAATAACCAATAAGTGACTTAAATGAAGACTTTCCTTTAAAATATTACCAACTTATTGCAAATTGTGGCCCAAAGAAGCACAAATTATGAAATCAATATGACACTTCCAGTTTCAAAAGTTTGTCTTTTTGTACATAAACTGGAAGCCAAAATAGTTAAATGGACAATATCAGCCATATCCACAATCAATAAGGTACCAAACTAAGAATTTTATGCATTTCTAACTTCACAAAAGACTCTTCCTAGATGTCCACAGGTCCATGAAACTCTCAACATGTTTAAAAATGAGTCCTTTTACAATCCTGAAACTAGTTTTTCTCTCTATATATTCCATATTTCCATTAATAGCATCCCCATCCAGCCTGTCTTCCAAACTAAGCCGTGGCATCATCTTTCACATTCACCCCACAAGCAGTTAGTCAGCAAGGGCTGTAGATCCTATCTCATAAATGCTTTTGCATGGAGCCCCTCTAATTCATTACTTCAGGGAATCCTTTATTATTTTTCACCCATGCTACAACATCTTTTAACTATTAATTAAATTAATCTTTTCTCTTTCAGTCCGTCCTCCACATTGCTTCCAGAATGATTGTCCTGAATGATAAACCTCATATTATGCTCCCCAATAGATAACCTTATCTGGCTTTCTGCTGTCTACAGGGTGACGTTCAGACCACTCAGGGCTATACACAAGGTCCTTAACAATCTACTTCTTCTGATTCATCTCTAGAAACCTCCTCCTGCCCATTTTATACTTTGGCCAGCCAAAATTTTTGTTATTCTAAGACATGCCACTCAATTCCATGCCTCTGCCTCTGTGGCTTTGTACATGTCATCCCCTGTTCCTGGTATGCAATTAATTCACTAGTGCCAGGCACTGTGCTGTGCATGGGACACACAGTGGTAAAGGTGACAGCAGGTTGCTCTTGCTTTTATGGAATTTACAGACTTGAGAGGTCACAGACATGTTAAGTGGGCATGTGCTACAAAAGTAGTACAAGTTAGTGCATAGATGTACAATAAAGACATTCATCATCATCCAGGAGGTCAGGGGAGACCTCTTTGTGGAAGTAACACCTAAGCAGAATACGAGATAGGAGATGCAGGTGGGGAAGGGGGAAGGATGTTCCAGGCAAATAAATAAATACAGATTGAAGTCTTGTAGGCATTCAAAGAACTGAGTTCAGTATGGCTAAAGTTGAAAACAGGGCGAAAGTAGCAAGATATGAAGTAGAGAGAAATTATATTATGAGAGGTGTTTTAGGTCAAGTGGGGAAGACTTGGTTTTAATAGCTTCTCCTTAGACATGTCTTTCCTGATTCTCCAAGGCAGATTTAGTGGCTATCATATCTGTGTTCCTACAGGTTTGTTCACTCATCCACTGTAATAATCACTACTCTCTGCTATACCTGTTTGCATGTATACTTCCCTCCTTTACCCTTGCAAATCTATAAGCTTCTTGAGGTTTCAGGAACAATATCTTATTTGCCATTATACCCCTATTTCAATGCAGTGTACTTGATAAATATTAGATATTTAAAAGATATTTGTCGAATAAATGATAAAGTAATAAATGAGAAAGAAATGGTTCAGAAAAGCAGGGGTCTGGTTTGAAGAAAGGAGGCAAGCCTGAATCTGTAGGCTGAGAGCACTGAGTATATTGAAAAAAGTTTGAGAAAGCTGAAAATGACACCAACCTGAATATTCAAGAATTCTCCACTTTGGCTTCACATTAAAATTGTCTAGGGTACATTTAAAAATTACTAATGCTGAGACCCACCCCAAACAAATTAAGCCAGAATATTCAGAACACTGGTTCCCATCACTGGCTGCAGAGTGGTATTACCTGGGATTTTTAAAAAACATACATGCCTGGGTCCCACCCCAGAGACTCTGGTTGATTGGCACAGGGTAGGGTCTGGGAAGGGGGCCTTTTATTTTTATTTTTTAATTAATTTTTTATGGTGACATTGGTTAACGAAATCCAAGATTCATCTGTACACTTTAACAGTAAGGCATATATATATATATATATACATATAT